TTCGTAACGAAGGTCTGTGGTATATTTTAGAATATATAATCTGAAAGAGCAAACATTTCTCTACAAAATGCACGGCCAAATGATATTTTAACCGTGAAGGTGATGGAACGGCAATCAAATCTTTTACTGGGACCAGAAAATTTTTTTGGTCCCGATGCCCATCTCTAGATAACTTGCAACTGGATGCGGGATTTCTTGGAAGTCAAAAATAATAGTTCTTTTTTGAGGCCAGGTCTTCAAAAGTGATAGAAAAGTATCACTAGGATTTTTGTCGTTTTTCTAGCTTTCTACTAAAATAAATTTTATTGTAATTAGAGATTTTTATTATTACATCATGTTCTCGAAGAAAAATCCCAGTAAAACATGATGTAATCGACTGTCACTTAGCCACACATACTGAAATAGTAAAGTTTGGCACTGTCAGAAATGAATGAAAACATAGGTTATCGACTATGCTGAATCTCGGGGCAATGTCAGTTTTCAGAACAAAATGCAACAATCGAGTGAAAACTTGTGAAATAACCCATTTTTGATTATTTTCATCAAAAACTAAATAATTCATCACTCAGTCAAAATCCACGCAACCTACTTCAAAATGTCAGGAAATATTCTATTTTATCTGTAAAGCTCAACAAGTGTTGAAAATTCCATCAGAAAATACTTTAGTTTCTAGAAAGGTTTCCCAGAAATCTTTGGAACTAAGAGAATACTTTTTATAGATTTTACGCACAGAATCAGAATGAGCAGATAAAATAGAGTATTTCCTGACATTCTGAAGTAGGTTGCATGGATTTTGACTGAGTGATGAATTATTTAATTTTTGATGAAAATAATCAAAATGGGTTATTTCACCTAGCAGGACACTTCGGACTATATATCTATGGAAAAAGTTTAATTTTAACTCCAATATTTATTTTGACAGTTGCAAAACCCTTGGGAGGTTTCTAGAAAACTCCTAGGAAAGCTTAAGTTATTGAGATATAATTTTGGCAGCCTTATATATTTGAACTACATAGTGCAGCAAGTTCAAAACAGAAAACAAAAAAATTTTAACTTTCCAGTTGCTGTAAGAGTAGACCTGCGGAAAACCTCTAAAAATAATTTTTTTTATAGAAATAAGTTTTTAGATAGAGTACAATGTGCTCTATTCGATGAGTGCATTGAATAAAAAATTCAACTATCGTAGAATTTTTTATAAAAATGATCCCAAGACCTGTAAGCTGAAAATTCATGTTTTCCAGAACCTTATTATGAAAGTCAAAATGAAAGAAAACTGATATTACTAGTGGATTTGGCATGGTACATAACCTATGGACCCTGACTTTTAAGTTGATACGTTCAGCTTTGTATGCGCTGAAGTTTTTTTCTCTTATTGGAAATCCTCTCATTGATACCACTTATGCACAAAGCTTAAACCGAATAGTAACAACAGATTGATCCAAAATATATCACAACATGAACGCCAATTAGGTAAGATTTACTTACCCTGCGAGAACATTGTATATATAATAGTCAGTTGCTCTTTCTGCTCCTCTATTCAGCCAAAATCATTAGTTGATTAACTTAATTGATTAAAAAGATAGTTTATTACAATGTTTTCACATCTAGATTTCTACTAAAAGCAAAAGAATTAGATTAGTTGTAATACGTATATTCATTCGAACAATCACTACAACTAACTTTCCGTCCGGTTGAAACAAAAGGATCACCAAAAAAGTCTGCTTTGTAACAGTGTGGACATGTTAAGTGTTGATATGAATTATTACAATCTCCACACCTAATAACTTGCCCTTTTCTATACTTTCCATTCAGCCAAACATGTTGTGAACTGCAGTGTGGACAGTTCACATGCTGATAAACAGCAGCACAATTATTACATGTGATACGATCGCCTACGCCTCGATCTGCATTACGCCAGACAGTTGCTACACTGCAGGACGGACAGTTGCTGTGCTGATACGATTTGTGACAGGAATAACAGATAGTTGTGCGACCGGGTTTACGGTCGGCATTTTTCCAGACATTAGGTGCCTTGCAATGTGGACAATTTATATGTTGGAATTTTTTGTTACAACTGGTGCAGAGAGTTGTTAATCCTTCCTTACGATTAATATTTTTCTCAGAAAAGCTAGCCCCGACAATGCGGACAATGTGAATGCTGAAACTTGTTATTACAATTGGAACATCTGATTGGTAATCCATCAATATGATCAGCATTTATCCAAAACAGGCTGACAGGACAATGTGGACAGTTAATATGTTGAAAGTTTTTGCTACAGTTGAAGCACTGGACTCTGAAGCCGGCTCTGTAGTCATCGGTATTTTTCCATAGATTTAATCTGTCGCAATGTGGACATATAACTTCTGTATAAGTTCGATTACACGCTCTACATCTGCAGATCGCTCCATAACTATAGTCTGCGAAGCTATTTGTCTGAAAACAATGTGGACAATTCGTTGTTTTTCTTGATTTAGCTAAACATAGAAAAACGAAAACAATTGGTTTTTCCAATGGGCTTATGTAACATTCTTCACATTACTAGTTTTCGTTGTTATTTTGGGTAATGTGATTGAGTTTCCAAACGGTGTTCCTGGTGGTGTTTTACTCAATATTAGAAATTTAAGCACGTGATGCGGAGATGGCGAAGGTGCAGCAGATTTATGACTTTTAGCACTTTGCACTAGTGGTAATACGGTCGTTTTGAGATAAGCGTTCGAAGTTTTGGCTAGTTCCCGTAAATGAATGATCCACACTCCATTGACATCGAGTGGATCGGCAACCGTCACTAGTTCAGTACCGGGTAACAAAATGACTTCATCTTCCGATTTAAATTGTGAATAGGACGAAATCGGTTTACCGTTGACACTGTCAATCGTAAATATCGTTCCTTTTCCGCGAAGAAAATTCTTAATCTGATTGACAGATCCAGAACAGGACGTTACAGATAACCATGTAAAACGTTTACCTTTATACAACTGATGACTCAAATCTTTACGCACGCCACGCCATACCGTGGTCTTTCTTGATGGAATTTTTTCGAGGCCGGTCCGAAGTAATTTGAGGTAAAGGTGCCAAACAAGAATATACGAACTAATATTCAAACGAAGTGCTTCATTTAAGCGACGATAAATACTGCGATATGAGTTGGTTTCTGTCGTATACAAATGAATGGCTGCTGCTTCATCAGTAGTTAATCCGTTTTCTGGAGTTAATATGGACCAAACCTGTTTTGCCTTATTCACATTGAGCGAAAGGTTATCGATCAGATGTGCGACTGGCTGCACAGCTGTTTCAAGTGAAACTAAGGGTGAGTGAATATAATCAAGATTCGATGAAGATTGTAGAGCAATAGGTACAATATCGAAGAATCGGGAAGCCATTTATGTGTCGTATTTTTTAAACGAGACGTATAATTTTGTGAAAAATATTGAAGTTGGAAAAGTCCAAGTGCCTTTAAAAAAAATGTGGCAGATAAAGTGCACACTCTTCATCTTATAAGAAAAACGAACAGAACATATCATAGCATTCCTTCTTATAGAATCGACTACACATTTTATCAGTAAAACGATGTCTAACTTTTCAATCTAAAACGTCAGTACAGGGGCGTCTATCCTCACCTGCATATCTGAGGCATTTTATACCACCTCGAAGGTTCGATCACTCAGTGTACCACCTAAAAAATTAATTTCTACAGCAAAAAAGCGTACCATCTTACGTTTGTTTGAGGCATAGAGCCTCAAACGTCCCACAGGATAGACGTCCCTGCATCGGTATGACTTTTTGATAGAAGATTGCGGACTGTCTCAAACAATCTCATTTTATAAGGAACAAACACTTCACCTCATATTACTTATACTGCTGTATGTATAAACAGTGATCGAAGCGCGTTGATCTCGACATCCGGATCAGTTCGAGTCACAGCAATACACGAATTTTTCTCACAATTTCAACTGTTTTCAACGTCAATTTCTACGAATTCTATTACTCTCCACTACTACAAGGTTATCAGATTTGTTATGACATTCCGAGAAGTATGTGATGTTGATTAAAAAGGTAACAGAGACATGACTTTTTTGTTGCTCTTCTACGTAGATAATAAAATGTTTTTATGAAAACAACATTTGACAATAAAACCGCATTGCTTTTAGAATATATCTGCAGCTCTTGAGGCATCACAACGTCATTACTAAATTACACAACTAACAATACATATAACGCAACATCAGTAAAATAAACAATAATCATTAAAACATCGATATACGTATGTAGGATTTCAACAATATTAAAAAAGTATAGCAAATTATTTATTAATTTGTCATACTCTACGGAAGGAGTAGCAATAAACTTAAACAACATTAAATATATTAGAGGTTCGGTTAACTTTTCTCGAAAATCATTTCAAATTCGCAAACATATGGGGCGCAAAGATATCACTCCTGCTTCTACGTTTAATACTGGCTTTTCCAGCTGTCATAGTGCGAGTAAAATTATCAACTGACTTAAACTGACGTTAAAATACAAGATCAACGAATATCATTGTAGATCTACAACTAGATACAGAGACAATAAAAAATTAACAAAAATATTAAAATAAATCCGTAGTACCCCTAAACACTAAACAGTTTAGACGAGCAATGTTCTATTTCATATAATGTTGTACAAATTTTCCCACGCGAAGGTGGGAGTGGACAGATTCCGACTTCACTGCAGTGTCAGACCCATCCTGATCGGGACCGTGTAAACACGGTTGATCCCGATCCGATTCCAAAAATCAGCTTGAAAGAGCTTCGGTACGATGAAGCCGATGTTTGTAATAACCTCCTTCACTGGTTTACTTCACATTTGTCTAATCGCCGCTGGTAGTTATAGTGCATGGTAAGTCTTCTAAAACTGGTAAAGTAACTTTGAGAGTATCACAAGGAAGTGTTCTCGAGTTCGTCTTATTTCTCATTTTTGTTAACAATTTGTCAGCAGATTTTCCATCTCTTGTACCATCATTACTCTTCACAGATGTCTTTATCCTTATTCAGATGGATAATTTTCTGAATTTTTCGAAATTTCAGCAACTCTTGGACATATTGGCCTCTTGACGTATCTCAAATGGCATTGGATTAAATACAATCAAATGTAGTTTCATATCTCTTTACACATCAGTTCATAAACTTGTTGCTCGCGTTATTAGTAATGACTTCGTAACAAGCAGCATTATTCTCATAAATACTTTACATCTACCTCCCTAGACATCGATTCTTATATAAGGATCTCACAAGGCACTCACAAGAAACACACAGAATACTTATCAGCTTTTCATACGTTTCTGATAAGATTCTTACAAGATTCTTATACAAGATGTTGCACAGAAGTGATAAGAAATTCACTGGTTTTGATAAGATTCTTATAAGAAAGTTATAAGATATTCGTAAGGAAGTAACAAGTCGTCCTGTCACTTTCTTATGACTATCTTATAAGAATCTTATCAGTTTCTTACCAATTTCATATGAACTTCTTATAAAAGAAAACTGTCGTGACTTTGAAAATCCAGCTCATACTCTTGTGTTTCCTTATTCAATTTGCTGCTTTCGCACCTGTATGAAATTTTCTTGATAGTGTTTTTCTGTAATAAGATCTAAGTCCCAGGTGAGCAGTCTAAAGACTCACCCTCATGGGCCACTACCTACAGACCGGATGCACTTCTCCAACTTTATCGTGACTATTGGAAAAGATTGAAGTTTGGAAAAAAAACATTGTGTGACAGAAGTATACAGGGCACGACATCTCGCTCGTTTGGATAAATTCCTTCTTTTCAGACTGATCTTTAGTAAAATGCTCCTGTTCGATAAGTATAAGAGATTGAAATGGTTTTAAAGCACGGTAAGAACAGCTGAAGAGAGCAGCACATTGAATAAGGAAACACAAGAGTATGGGCTGGGTTTTGCAAAATCACGACAGTTTTCTTGTCAGAATCAGATAAGAATTTTATAAGAAGTTCATATGAAATTGGTAAGAAACTGATAAGATTCTTATAAGATAGTCATAAGAAAGTGACAAGACGACTTGTTACTTCCTTACGAATATCTTATAACTTTCTTATAAGAATCTTATCAAAACCAGTGAATTTCTTATCACTTCTGTGCAACATCTTGTATAAGAATCTTATCAGAAACTTATAAAAATTGTCAAAAATTCTTTCTCTAGGGCTAACCTCAGTATTAAAAACCTTTTAATCACTAGAGTGTCCGAAAAAAGATCTAACACCAGTCTATAAGCTGTTCCTCATTTTAAAAGAAAAGCGAGCGAGACCGTTTCAACACGAGAAAAGCATTTATCGATGATGTTGGGCTTCGTTGAGAGCTATCTAAAAAGTGAGGTTCAGTTGTTTTTCATGTACCTCCATCCATGATGCCACATGCAACATCTCTAAAGCACGTTTTTCTATTGCTTTTCATGTAATTCAATTTCACACATACTCGAAAAAAGTACTCCTGATGGTCATTCAGTAAATAATGATGGTTCTTTTCTTTCTCATAAAAAAAATAGGACAAAAGAAACTAGGACTGAATGTTCGTAAAAAGTTCGAATGTATCATCTCGTTGTCTGTACGGTAGAGGTTTAATCATGACAATCACACTGACACATCCCAGGAGGAACACCCCAAGCATACGGATAATTCCGATTAGCACCAGCACCCATACGACATCCTCTTCGCTGACAACCGGCGCAAGAACCGGAAACGGGGGATGCCACTGGTGGTGCATTTGCTTGTTCTACGATGAAGACAAAAGAAGGGTACATACCAAAGAAAAACAAGTCGAATACATCTATAAAACACTATACGTCATCAATTATATAATTTTGATAAACAAATACTCTTCTCCTCCCTGTTGAAGAAAAAAAGGTGTTTATATCAGACACCGTGAAGTGAAACATCAGGCTTCTGTTTCTGTTCACAGTTTGGAAGAATGAGGTGGAATAACGTGGTAACTACAGCTGAAAATTGACTTTGCTTCATGTCTTTGCTCTTTTGCTACCAGGATAAAAGCGACTCCCATCAAACTACGTATGGGTGGTGTAGAAAAAAAACGCTCGCCTGTGAGACTGCAAATTGAATCTATAAAAAGAAGTAAGGTAATCGCCCTCTTCTGACTGCCATTTCTGGTTCTCCCAGATGGTGCATCCAATCTGTCTGAAATTTTATCCACAGATACAGAATGTAACTGAAGTGCGTCCATATTTTCTTCAATAGAACAAAGAGAAAAAGATAATAGTTTGAAACGCACTTTAGTTACATTCAAGCGTGCCTCAGAGATAGTGCCAGAAAACGTTGCAGTCGCACGTTTTTTACGGGAATCAATTGTATAACTGTTTTCAAAGACCACCCTAACAACCCACAGAGACCTTTTTCTCTTTCAAATAGTCCGTATATGGGTCTGCTTATACTCTGTTCTGTCAAACCATCGCGCTGCGGCGAGAATCTCGGTTAGAGGATGAATTAGTCATCCCTCAGAAAAGGTGATATGAAGGGGTTTTCATTTCTACTCAACCATAAAATACTGAGGTCAAAACAAACGTGTAAAAAACAAAGTATACGTTTTCCGTTTTTAGACACTATAAAACAATAAATGTTCACTTTTTCTGTTTTCTCCCTAACTAACCCTGTTCTGAAATGTGTGTGTGCTTTAGAGAATTTGTTTGCTCCTTTCGGTCTTGAGGATACTCGTATAGTCCTATGTAATGTAGAATGGGACAAATAACCCTCAACAAGTGCTCCACTGTTCTACTGGAACAGAATGCAAAAATATTTATTTAAACTCACTTGGCGTAGTCTGTGACTTCTGTGGTGTCTTTTGGCGTTGTATTTCCTCCTGGAGTTTCTTCATCTGCTCCATAAGCTGTCTGTTCTCGTTTTGATGTGCGACTATTTGTGTTTGTAATAGGTTGACTTGATCCCTGAGATTTCCGTTTTCTTGTACGACCGGACTCAGTTCGGATCGTAGCGGAGCAAATTTACAAATTTGCAAATGATTTGACAGTTCTTCCGTAGATCCCTGCCAAGTACACAGAATATCAGCTGCAGTGCATGGTACGTCGATCTTAGAACACTCTTCTTTAATATGGTTATCCATATCACTTTTCTGTATACCCGATTGACCACATTTGATGCATTTTACGCGTAGTTTATCCAACATGGAACGGAAGCGACGAGGAACCTGTGTGAGATTCTTAACGGTGAGATAAGCTCTGCATTCCGGGCAAGTTGTATTATTTTCTGACAACCACTTTGTAATACACCTATAACAAAACATATGATCGCATGGGGTTCCTCGCGGGTCTTCGAGAGGTTGATTACAGATTGCACACGTTAAATCTCTATCAATGGAGG